TCCCTCGGCCACACGACCCCGCAGACAAACAGGCCAAAGGAAGCACATTCTTGAATTCGTGCCCTTGCTTCAATCTGCTTAAAATATTTGCTCTGAATTCCAAAGACATTGTGAGTCTCTGAGTAAACAGCAAATTGAGCCAAGTGTGTCAGGACAGGGCTACCTGGATAGGGCATATCAAGGCTTTGCTGTTTTGCAGTTAAAAACAGAGCAGAGGATGGCCCTACCCTAAACTTAGTGCACTTTTCTGACTCCATAACATCCTGCTGGTTTTTATGCCTGATTTGAAAAGGTCGGGGATAGGAAGGCCAGAATCTCATTCCTCTCTCGTGCTTGTAGTTAGCAATTATCCATTCTGTAGGCTTGTCTTGATGTTAATGTGTGTGTTAGCTGCGTGTGGATCTGCATGTATATCCATACACCCGTATCAGTGGATGTATGTGTGAATGCATGTGTGTATATACTTACACACAGAGAGAAATATGGGCCTAAATAGAAGTATTTAGATGTAGCCACGTGTACTTGTGTGTATGTAGTTCTACAGCCTTGCTGCTGTGCTCTAAGGGAAAGAAAGGGGCAAACAAACAACAGCCAGGAAAAACTACCCCCCAAAATCAGCTCAGCACTTTTGCACTGCAACATTTGATGAGCCTTCTGAGGCTGCACACAGGACAAAATCTGCTCAAAGCATCTGTTCACCCTGTTCTGCAGGACCCTATTCATGTCATGTGCCTTTCAGGCCCCAAGATGGATTCATAGGCCGGGTACTATTATTGTGTGTTTTCTCCTAACCTTTCAGGTCAGCTTCCAATAGACAGCTGGAAACGGCCTGTCACGTGGCCTTGGGGTGCCAATGTTCTGCCATAGGGGTGTCAAGACCCTGGTAGCTGGAAAAATCATTTTGGGGAATCCCGGAGATGCAGAAGACAACGTACTACGAAAGCTCCACTCTCTTTGGGGGCTATTCCTATGGGAGCACCAACGGGTTTGGCTACGAGGGCCCCCAGCAACCCTTCCAACCGGGTTCCCACGTGGAGAACGACTTCCAGAGGTCCGCCTGCTCCCTCCAGTCCCTCGGCAACA